TGATCAGAGTATGCTAAGGTTTGTACTGGATGGGTGCATTATTAAAAAAAAAAAAAAATCTATTAGTAAGTTCTTTGGTAACATTGTTTACTTGACCTCACACAATTGCAACCATAAAACTGCATTGCTTTATCTTGCCAACTAATCTAGTTTTTGCCATTTGATGGACTAATTACTAATGCCTTGTAAGGGGACAGCTCAAGTGTTGAGCTTATTTAGTACAGTATTGTAAAGCGGAAGTGCAGTAACCCTTAAAAAACAATTAGAATTCATGTAGTTCAGCTAATCTGAATACAGCATGCTGTAATTTGATTGGCTGCTATAGGTTACTGCAGTATGCAGTTATATTGTTTGTGCAATTTTGACATATACTTTTTATCTGTTCACTAACAGGCTATATATATGTCAAGCCAGAGATTATGTCCCGTATTCACCAAGGAGAAGAATTATGTGTAAAGAGCAATTTGTATTCTCAGAAGAGGAACTGCAGAACAGGCCCTTCCACAAGTGAGTATTCTTAACGGATTCAGTACAAGTATCAAATCAAGCAAATATGTAAGTGGTCACTTACATTGCAAATTGAGGATGCCATTGTAGGCCTATGGTCAAATGAACACTTCGTCCCTCCGGGAGAGCGTCATATGACGTCCTTCCCGGATCATGCTTTGCGCGTGCCCGCAGGGCCGCGCTGTGTGTGAGATCTGTCACCGGCCGTGAACCTCGGACACGGCCAATGACAGATCTGTGTACCGGCCCAGTTGCCAGTACCATGTGACCTGCTGTGACCAATCACAGCAGGTCACATGACAGTTGTATACAATGGATGGCTTCCTTTCATGCCATCCATTGTATACAACTGTGTCTAGCTGTGAATGGTCACAGCGATCACATGCACAGGCCGGGCCAACCGCAGCCCATTTGTGTCATGTGATTAGCCATAGCCAATCACAGCTAATCACAAAAAAAAAAACCTGAATGAATCAATTTCATTCAGTAAAATGCTTGCTAATAGCAAAGAAATTCTTTGCTATAAGCAATCAAATTGTGTAAAAAAAAAATACTGATCACTTCCCCATAGTAGTACAATGTTACTATGGTAACATTATACTACTTTGCTCATAGTGCAATATGAAAAAAAAAATCTTAAGAAAAAGAGAAAAAAATGTAATCAAAAATAATAAAAATTAAAAAAAAAAAAATTATCATTGTCCCTAATCACCTCCATACCAGTTATATACTGTAGTGGACTGGTGACCGTATGTAAAAAGAAAAAATTGTGAAAATATTTTTTTTTTTAATTTCTTAATTTTCCGAAAAATTATGACAAAAAAATTACAACTTCAAAAAACTCGCCATGCCTCTTATGAAATACGTCGGACTGTCTGCTTTGCAAAAAGGGGTAATTTGGGGGATATCTGTACTATTCTGACATTTTTGGGCCTCAAGAAATTAGATTGGCTGTCAGTACTTCAGGACTTCAGGATTGATCAATTTTCAGATATATTTATTTATTTTATTTATCCCATATTTTGTGGAGTCTATAACTTTCCTACAGTCTAAATAATAAATACTGATTTGGGTTATTTTCACCCAAAAAATGTAGCAGAATACATCTTGGCCTAAATTTCTGAAGAACAATTATTTATTTGCAAACTTTTATAACAGAAACAATGAAAACCGTGTTTTTTTTTGTTTTTGTCTTTTGTTTTTTTAATTTTCGGTCTTTTGTTGATTTAGCAAAAATAAAAACCCCAGTGGTGATTAAATACCACCAAAAGAAAGCTCTAGTTGTGTGAACTAAATGATAACATTTTGGGTACAGTGTTGCATGACCGCGCAATTGTCATTCAAAGTGTGAGAACGCTGAAACCTGAAAATTTGGCTTTGGCAGGAATGGGGTAAAAGTACTCGGTATTGAAGTGGTTAAATACTATGCATTTGATTTTTTTTTAAATGTATTATAAAAAACTACTGTATATGAAGTTTTTGCTTTTTTCCCCCAAATTATACTTGCCTAGGTGGATCCAGCATCAGTCTGATGCTGCATCTGTCCCCCGCAGGCTCTAAGTGTAAGAACTCAGCGATCAACTGATCGCTGAGAGTTCTCACAGCCCCTGTAAGCAGGGAGCGGGACTGTCAGTCATTGCTGTTTGCTTTGCCCCCCCGCACTTACTGGAGTGCTGGGCTGTGGAGAGAGAGGGAATGGCTGGCTCAGGCTCTCAGCTGCTCGCTGGAGTGCAGAATGAACTGCACTCCTGTGATCCACAGGAGAAGTACAGCCAAAAGTGCTTTGGATATACTTCCCTTTTTAATTCTTTTAAAAATGTGAATGTGGGTTAGACTGCTGGAGCAAGAAATAAAGTGTTGGCAGTGTGTATGTGTGTGTGTGTGTGTATATATATATATATATATATATATATATATATATATATATATATATATAGTCAGGTCCATAAATATTGGGACATCGACACAATTCTAACATTTTTGGCTCTATATACCACCACGATGGATTTGAAATGAAATGAACAAGATGTGCTTTAACTGCAGACTGTCAGTTAGTTTCATTTCAAATCCATTGTGGCGGTGTATAGAGCCAAAAATGTTAGAATTGTGTCGATGTCCCAATATTCATGGACCTGACTGTATATATATGTATGTATATGTGTACAGTATATACATTTTTATTTTAATATATATATATACTATTGTTTGACATTAATAGTGAGCATATCCTCTGATTTTCACATTTTGTACAAAATGGTAGAACTTTGTACTTATATTTCCATCAGTTCTCTAATTATCTTAAAAGGCATCTAACAATAAATTCTTTGTGATTTGCAAAGTATTTCAGGGTTTTTAATATCAAAGAACTTCTTACATGCATGTTAGCAGCCTGTGTAGCAGGCCAATCAAGATGGTTGAACGGTCTGGATAAAAGCGCACAGATGTGTCCCAAAGGAAATAAGTGAATGGTATATGTCAACTATGATTGGTGGGGAAAAAACTCACTGCTGCCATGGTAAAAACACATCGGTTTGTGGGAGGTATGAACAGGAGCCAGGCGCTGTGTAGTTTTGTGATAGAAATAATACACCTTATATGGAGGTGTGCCTTTAATAAGTCATATGGTAAAACAATAATAAATAACCAGCCTGTGGCTTTAGGAAGCCAGGTTCCAAGATGGACGGCCCGTCCGCTCAGAGGGAAGCAGTGGAGTAGAATGCCTGTCAGTGCAGGGACCACGTTTACCCCGACGTCCCAGCGTCCTGGATGAGGGACGCTGGGACGTCAAGTTTGTCAAGACTTGACAAAGCGCATGCGCGCGAAACATGTTGTCCCAGCAACCGGCCTCTTCCTTCTAAAGCTGCGGCTCCAGAAAGAGTTCCCCCCCTCTGTCTCTCCACATCGTGGTGACGTCATCCAGGACGCTGGGACGTCGGGTAAACGTGGTCCCTGCACTGACAGGCATTCTACTCCACTGCTTCCCTCTGAGCGGACGGGCCGTCCATCTTGGAACCTGGCTTCCTAAAGCCACAGGCTGGTTATTTATTATTGTTTTACCATATGACTTATTAAAGGCACACCTCCATATAAGGTGTATTATTTCTATCACAAAACTACACAGCGCCTGGCTCCTGTTCATACCAATCAAGATGGTTCCCTCTCTGATAATGAACTCTAACACAAGACCAAATTCTACATAGGTATGAATAACAGCTGAGATTGCTAAATCTAACATAATTTCAACCAGGCCTTAAATGATTTAGAGGTGGAAAAAGTTCTTCAGGCAACTTCTGGTACTTGCAAGTATTTTTTGCAATTATCACACCACTTTGGATCTTAGGCCTGAGCTGACTGTCTAGATTAAAGCCAAACATCAGGAAAACTACTGAGGATATGCTGCCTTTGCTCCCCCATGTTCACCCGCTGTTCACATTTATCAGAGACCCAATGCGGTTAATTTACTAAAGGAGTAGAGCATATTTATTTTGAAATTGAATTTTCACTTCCCCTCATTAATTCTGCAAAGAATACCTGCTCATGTGTGTTGAGATGACAAGCTTGGATATTCTTTCCAAAGTGAATTTTTGGCTTTGTGGATGAGGTGAAGCAAACTGAAAATTTAAGCTGGCCATGGATGGATCAAAATTCGGCCGGTGCAGCAGGGACTGGATGAAATTTGATTCATCTATTGCCCCCCCCGCTCAACAGGAGTCTATTTAATGATCGACACTTATCGAACGGGCTACAATGGCACAACAGGGAGGATTCCTCCATCCACCTCGCTTTTGTGGATGGAGGAATGCATTCATTTTTTTTTTTTTTTTGATTAGCCCTCTGGCTGCTTGGGAAAAAAACAACCAGCTTTACTTTGCACCATGAGTAAACTTTACTTCTTTTAATAATTCAACTCCAACGTGTTGCATATAACAAAAGGGTTTTGCCTCATTTGCTTTCTATCTGTACCTGCCATTAGAAAGGTTAATATTTTACTTGAATGTATGGGAAGAATGGCACAATAATGTGAGTAAATGGTTAGGAATGTCTAGATTTGTCTGTATGTATACAAATGCCCCTTCGCTGTATATATTCATACAATTTGCAATAGGCTGTAGAAACGAACTATAAAAAGGAAAAAAACATAGAAAACTCTGCCTTAGTAACTTTGATATGATGGTCCGACTTTTAGCACAATTTATTTTCAATGACTATTTCCCCCATCAGGTGACAAATCTACAGAAGCAAATAGAACTCCCAAGGCTCCAAATGAGGAGAATGAAAATGAAACCTTGCTTTGTGGAAGTCCATCAAACTCCAACACCATTTTAAAGAAACCATACTTATCAACACTTGCAATGAAAAATGCTAAAGAGAAACCTATAAAGCATGAAACACAGGAAGAAAAGATAACAGAACCAAAAACACAGAGAGGTCGCCGAAGGAGGAAATATGTGATGAGTGGAGGTACAAATGCTGAAGGAGCTGATAGCACTTTAATGGGAAATAAAACAAAAGCTAACTCAGAAACTAAAGTGGCTAAGCCAGCTAGATCTTTCCTCTGCTCAGTTTGTGGCAAGTGTTTTACCCAGAATGCCAGTCTGATTATCCACCAGAGAACTCACACAGGTGAAAGACCCCATGTGTGCAAAGTATGCAACAAGAGTTTCATCAGTAGTGCTTACCTCGTAATGCACCAGAGAATTCACACTGGAGAGCGTCCATATGTGTGCAACGAGTGTGGGAAAAGCTTCATAAATAGTTCCAATCTCATCATACATAGGAGAGTGCATACAGGAGAGCGTCCCTATGTGTGTACCGAGTGCAGCAAGAGCTTCCGCCACAGCTCTGATCTCGTCAGGCACCAAAAAGTTCATACCGGAGAACGGCCCTATACCTGCACCGAGTGTGGCAAATGCTTCTTCCGTAGTTCACATCTCATTAGACACAGGAGGGTTCACACCAAAATTTAGAAAATGGCTTCTTTGAATTGATCAGCGTACTATGATTTTACTTCATGCATTGCCAAATATTTAGTTTGACTTAAACAGGCTTAAAGAGTAATTCTAGGCAAGTATTAAAATCAATCAATCAACTGCTAATGCTATCCAGGAAATGTTACACCTGTGCTACAGACATAACATTTAATCAGTTTATCTATATGGAGAGTTCAAAAGTCCAATAGGATTGCATTTTGATGGATTCTCACAGGCCTATTGGGTGGGACCGCAGCCTCTTTTCTTGATGCTGTATTTTGCAGCCTTTTGCTCATGTGCTGTTACAATTGGCTGAGGGTGAAAGGTGATGGAACTTGAAATGCTCAGCTTGTATTTGAAAAAAATCCAGGTGCAGAACATGAATGCCAGGATCCCAAGAGCTTTTCAGAGGGTGGGTTGTACCCTTGGCTAGCTTAAACCTTTTAAAGATTATGGCTCAATATTGGATGGACTTCATTTGGTCAACTTCTGGCCTATTACTGGAGCGCGCCAGGAAAACAAAACCTCAAAAGTTAGTAACAAATATGCAATATGAACAGTTATGTAATGGAGTCTGGTTGTGGTGTTTATTTTTCTTGTTTTTTATTTTATTTGGATGAAAAAAAATAATGTTCTAGGAAACAATATTCAGTTTGTGTGTTTCAGACTTGTCACTTACAGCGCACTTTGACCAAACAGCAGTTTCTTCTTTGCTGTTTACATAGGAAACCTGGAATTTGTAATCTTAAACATAGATTCTGGTGTGTCTTACAATTAAAGGCACAAGTTTACTGGCAATTTTAATCCTGAATCGGCAATCTCAGAGGGGAGTTTTCTCTTTTATTTTCTTTCTCTCCAGATGTCCGTCATGTTGTAAAATATCAGTCCTTACACCATTGTGTAGTACAGTAACTCCATAGGTATTCAGTGAGAAACTGTTATTACTGAATGCCAATAATTCAAGGTGTGTCAGGTCCTAAAGGGTTTCTAGCAAAACAGCAGGTATTGAACCATCTGGCATGCATTCTACCATGAGTAGTCCCTTTTTTAATATGCTTTAATCAGTCTGTGACGGTAGAGCTACTAAACACCAGTATGCCAAGGCTCTTGGTGATTTCCAAAATAGGCTGGGGTAAAAGCAAATTTCCTGGTCTTAATCTATGATACTTAATCTTAATCGAAGATTTCACGTTAACATAACATTCCATTATTTTTTTTTTTTAATATATTCCCCATACAGGTATAACTGATTCTCTTTTCCTATTTGGTAACTGGTGATCTTTACCTAATTTTTGTGTGAAATATTCCATTCATTTTTAACTGGAAATAGTCTAATACAGCAGATAATGAGCCCTAACATTCTAGTGACAAGTAACTGTTGCCACATCTCTGTCACTTCAACTGTCTCCAGTTGTAGTATATGTAGAAGGAAAATTTAAATGCTGGTGATTGAATTTTTGACTAGCAAATAGTAAAATATTTAATTTCTTAATAACAATTTGTCTACTGTGTCCAAGTGCAACACACTTCTCTTCTTGTATGAATGCACTCAGGGGAAATAGATGTAATAAAATATTCTCTATATTAAATGTTGACAATGTACATAGCTTTGTACACATTTTTTTTTTCAAAGAATCATAAGGAGTAAAAAAAAATATATGAATGCATATAATAATTTTAAGATGTGATTATTATTTTTTTCTTTTCTAAAATTAGTTTTTAGGTCTGAAAATGAATTGTTTCATTTTGTTACCTTCCTGGGTCAGGGTTAAAAACTCCACTTAAAACTCTACCCAAAGCTAAAATTTACAAACTTAAGGCCATAGCTTTGGTGCATTAAAATTCATCTTATGTTCTCTCTTTGCACTGCTGCTACCTGCCAGAAGTGGTATTGCTCCAAAGTAGTAGCCTCCAAACTGAGGCCCTTTGCTTGCCTTTTATCCTGCCCTTGGGGGCACTATTTCCTCTGCTGACAGCAACAATAGGACATAATTCCTGTCACTAACACAAACAATGGGGTACTGTTTTTCCCACTGGCATTAACGATCTGGCACAATTCCTCCCAATGACACCAATGATGGGATACTGTTCCTTCTACTGACAACAAAGATGGGGCATTGCTTATTCCCCCTAATGCCAGGACATTTTCTGCTCCCATTGGCCACAATCCATTCCTCTTAAGTCTGAAGAACATTAAACCGGCCTTTTGTTTAGAAAGTTTGGATATCCCTGCTCTAAAGGATTTCAGTGAGATATTCTGCAACATCTAGAAAAGAAATACTGGCAACTGTAAAAAAGTCAGAGTTGGCCTGAATAGAACACCAAAGCTAGTAGGGATGATGGCGTTAGTGAGAAAGGGTGGGCTACAAGAGGTATTTCACAGAACTGGATCCAAAGTGCGAGGCTGCCAAGGATAGTAGAGGCTGCCCCTGTCACTTTTGACCCTGAAGGAGCTCAGTTATTTTCATTGAATGAGTAAAGTGGATCCAATCCCTATACCATCACCCAGAATAGAGAAGTCAGAAGTACTTTGTCATTCATTACATCCTAATTAGAAAATTAATACTTATTTTGACTGCCAGTGACTAATTTCAGGTAACTTGATTAGCTGCACTTTCATTGTTGAGATTGAAGCGAACAGCTTTTTTCTAATAAAAAACAAACAAACAAGCCAAACTCTATAGACAAGTGCGGTGATTTTGTCAACTGCAAGGTGAAAGTGATCTACTAAATTGAATGGAATTCTGTGTGCCTCAAGTGTAAGAATTGGAAGAAGGAATTGGTCAGTATTTGCAATACTCACAATAATCTATGACCTGAACTAAATAAATAACAACTGTTGTCTGATTTATGGGTGCCACCTGCAGTTTACTTTTTTCTTTTTTACACATCACCACCTAGATTTCCTTCTTTACCAGTGCTTATTAGAACTTGGGGCTTAATTCTTTTTGCCTACTCTTTTTCTCCCTATTTAATTTTTTTTTCTTTCTGAATGTATTGTATGGTTTTGTATTACATGTGAAGTAATTGTATTTCATGAAAATATTCTATGACTAAGTAAATAAGTATCGTCATGCTGAAAATGACTTTATTGTACAGAAAGACAATCCATATTCTGGAGTAGTTGGGATCTTTGCAAATTATAGTAAGATAATGGCTCTGTATATGCTTGGTCATCAGTTATTCTGTAAATTACATTTCAGTTATGTTTTAATTATATAATAATGTATTTATATCAATAAAAAATGAATGTTTTCCCAAGCGTGTTATTAAATTACTGAAGTGTTTTATAACTACACATCTGAAGGTGAGTAATAATTAGTTACCATGTTATCAGCAATTTAGAATTGTGTTTCTTCTGCAAAGCGGGTTTCCACTTCAAACTTAAAGGGTAGAATTCCTCTATTGGTGCAGTTTTGATTAATGGCAGGTGTTGGCATGTTTATAAAAACAATACCTAGAAGCTGGTTAGTTTTGAGTAACCCAGACTCTTAGTTACTTTGCTGTCTGGTTTTAGCTGCCTATTCAGAAACGTTTCAACCTGCATGTAAAAATTCCTGACATTTCACAATATACAGTGTAAAGCACTGGCTGGCAGTATTGTGGACTGTATGGCCCTGATTTACAAAGAATAGAGTCTTAACAGCAGACTCTGAACATTCAGGCAGACTCAATTCAATAAATTAAGACCTTTCAGTGTTCAGAAAAGCGTCTAGCAAGGTGATTGAAAGCGACTATCTTATAGACACAATTCCCTTCATAAATATGAAAGCAGCTTAGACACATTTCTAGGAGCAATGCCGGATATGGTCGCTAGGTGGCACACAACTGCGGGCTGTCCCATTCGCATTTGTCTGCCAGATGAGAATACTTACAGGTGTGCTTTTTCTTTTAACTTCTTGCCAACCGCAGATAGCCGAATGACGGCTACACTTCGGCCGGCTAGTTCTGGGAGGGCGTCATATGACGTCCTCCCAGAACGCGCTCTCCTGCGCGCCCCCGGTAATCTCCGTGATCGCTGTGTCCTACGGACACAGCTGATCACGTGATGTGGTAAATGGCCAATCACAGCGGCCTTTTACCACGGGATCAGCTATGTCCAATGACACAACAGATCACCGGGAAATGCAATTGGCGGTTCTCGGCTGCACTTTCCTCACGCTGTTAGAGCACGAGGAAAGTACTGCCGAGAACCGGCAGTTGTCAGAGCAGGGATCGGCACCGATCATCATCAGGGCACTGATGATCGGTGCCCAGCAGTGCCACCCACCAGTTCCGCCCACATGTGCCCAGCAGTACCACCCACCTGTGCCCAGCAGTGCCACCTACCTGTGCCCAAAAGTGCCACCTACCTGTGCCCAAAAGTGCCACCCATCAGTGCAGTGCTGCCAGTCAGTGCCCATCAGCTGCGCCAGTCAATGCCTAGCAGTGCCGCCAGTCAGTGCCCAGCAGTGATGCCAATCAGTGACACCTCATTAGTGCTGCCTATCAGTGCCGCCTATCCATTCCACCTCATTTGTGCTGCCTATCAGTGCCCATCAGTGCTGCCTCATCAACGCACATCAGTGAAGGAGAAAAATTACCTGTTTGAAAAATGTTATAATAGAAACAAAGAAAACATTTTTTTTTTCAAATTTTTTGCACTTTTTTTTGTTTATAGCGCAAAAAGTAAAGCGCCCAGCGGCGATTAAATACCACCAAAAGAAAGCTCTATTTGTGAGAAAAAAAAAAAAATGATAAAAATGTCATATGGGTACAATCTTGCATGACCGCGCAATTGTCAAAGTGCGACAGCGCTGAAAGCTGAAAATTGGCCTGGTAAAGAAGGGGGTATAAGTGCCCGGTAGGCAAGTGGTTAAATTATATTATTTTTTTTTTTTATTATTTTTTGTTGCTGCTATTATTGTTGCCTCTATTCATTTTCTTTCCTTTTTTTTCTCCAAACATGATCGACCAACTAATGCATTTCCTAATGAATGTTACAAAGTCATACAGCT